TTGGTAGACCAGGCTGGCCTCGAACTCACAGAGATCCGCCTGGCTCTGCCTCCCAAGTGCTGGGATTAAAGGCGTGCGCCACCACCGCCCGGCAGATAACTCTTATGTAAGAAGAGATCACCTGGGATACTATGGAGAACAAAGTTACTTTTCATTAACCTACACCCTCTCTACCCATATTCCTGCTGGTGGCAGGAAACAGAGGATGCTCTGAGGACAGGGATGTGGAGAATATTGTGTACTTTTACTGGGTGTTGATATTTTTTCAGTTTATTTTTAGTTTATATGTGCAGATGTACAGCCTGCTTGTGTGTCTGTATAACATGTGCATGCCTGGTGACCTGGGAGAAGAACTCAGTGGGTAGATAAGTCAATGCAGTGCTTGCCTTGAAAACCTGTACACAGACAGGTGAACACCAGGGTTCCTTGATCTGTAATCTAAGCTCTCCTAGCAAGTTCCCCAGTCTGTGCATTGAAGGCTTAGTTCCCCAGCACAGGACTGTGGGAGCCCGTTCTTGGGTTCCTCGTGGCTTTACCCAGCAGGTCCGAATAGAGGATGATCAGGACCACAGGCCTGAGTGCTGGTGTCTGAGATGGTCTGCACTTGCCTGTGCTGGGGGAGGAGGTCTTTTTCTCCACCCCTTGGCATCTCTATAAAAACCCTGGGCCAGAGACAGTCAGGGCCCGTTGGAATAGGTTCCAGGCCCTCTCGAGGCTATCCTTTATTTTCTCTCTGTTTATCTCTGCAAGATTCTCTGCTATAAATCCTTCTATCTAATATTTCCTGCTGATCGCACTCAAGAAAACTCTGGGAAGCTGTGGGGGTGGTGGGTAAACGCCCCACAAAGGACCACTAGATGGCATTGGACCAGCCCCTTGCTCTCACTCAGTGCTTCCCAGTGCCTCCAAGGAGGGCACCTTCCTCCTAAAGAAGCTCTCTATACCACAGGTTGCCTCAATTTAGGCCCAAAAGAATGAGGTCAGAAAACTAGAAAATCTCTACAATCCTGAGTCTATAGTAACCTGTACTCCAAGTAAGTTGATTGTGTCAGGGATTTCTTTGAGGAACAGAAGGTTGACGAACTCACGGCCAAATGACTGCATATATCATTCCATACTTAACAATATGGACCACATTGTATGTTTGCACTCATCAGTAATGGGTATCTGAAGAGTTTGTAGTTGGACTGTTCTGATGAGTCCTGCTGTATCCCTGTTGTCCCCTATTCTCTGTGGACACCACTTTCCATTCTGGAATCAATGTTCCACCTGAAGTCTATAGTTCCACTTTCTGAATAATTGCACATAGCTTCTCACAGGGCTGCACCATTTTACATTTCTCCCAACTCTCCATCAGGCTGAATTTAACTCAGGATGAAGAGGTTTGGAATAAAAGCAGTTTCTGAGTGCTACAGACACAACATGGAGTGGGTACTTGAGAGTATGGTGAGCCTAAGCGGTGCCCTAAGACAACCTCATCTCACACCTCAGCATAGCTATGGGACTTCTGCTGGGCTGGGATGCAGCCACAAGCACCTCTGCAGTTCAGAATTTCTCTGAGAATAAAGTTCAGGCCAGCTCCAAGGGCAAGGTTAGCTGAACCAAAGTTAGGCAAAGGTGAATGGAAAATGGCAGGAAGCGATGAGGACAAGAACAAAACATGATGCAGGGAAGTCATCAGTCACCAGCCTCCTTTCACCCAGAGCAGAGAGGGACGCAAACTTTTCCTGCCTTTCCTGCCTCTCAGTAGCCTCTCTCTCACCTTCATGGACCCCATTACTTTGTTCTTCTCCAGAGGATTTCTTCGCAGATAAATAATTCTGCCTCTACAAATACCTGAAAAACTTTTAGCTTGCATCAGTTATGTGGCCGTTCATTGTAGTTAGCTGTGTGGACATGCAGAAGGATGGGCAACTCCATCTGTTCTTTGACTGAGGCAAAGTCATACTAACCAGATTAGGCACAGTACTTTCTCATTGAAATCCATCTCCATCATTCTTAAAGATGTTCCATTGTTCCATGAGAGAGTGAATATACCCACAGAGGCTCAAACACACATTCTCATTCCTCAAATATACACATAACAACAACAACAACAACAACAACAACAACACACACACACACACACACACACACACATACACACACACACACACACACACACCTTTCT